AGCTCTCCCCGGGGCACATGTGACGTGGTAATGCATATGATGCCCGTCTGCCGAACGCCTTCTGGACTCGCTCGTATGAGACGGCTGTCACAGGTGGGAGAGATTTCCAGTGTTTGTAATTCCTCACACTTAACCACACCATTACGCTTATGATCGGTTGTGCACTCTGTATTGTACTGATCTGAAAAGCAGCTTTGTCTCTCTCTCAAAGAAACCTTCTGAGATCGGTTAAGGATTGAGATTTATAATGACATAAATAAACTGTTTTCATTCCAAAAAAGGTGTATGGTGGTCACCCAGGACTAAAATCAACTCAGAGCGTAACTTAGCACCTTAAAACCAACGTTCGGTTTTAAGTGTGACTGCACTTGAAGCACAAATGACCAGAATGGAACAGATGACCGTAAACAGGTGATGTACGCCAGCCCTGTCGATGCGAAGCTTCAGTCGCTACAAATCCGATAGCTCGCTCTGTGTGACTCTGGATGCCCTGCTTTCTGTTTCCAGATGGGTCAATGATCACTCTGCTCTGGTAAAGCAGGAAAGGCCGGAGGCAGGGTCGCTGCTGAAGGGGAATCGACTGCACCCTCTGTTAATTAATGCGCCCTGATGCTTGGAGAGAGAGGGCTTTTCTTTGGCCGCATGAGCTTTTGCCTCCCGATCGGTCTCCCCCCGGTTGTTGCTTGTTGTTATTTTCACATCCTTTTACTGTTAATCACACACCATTAGATATGAGTCTGCACCCTTGGAGAACAACAGCTTCACTCCTGAGAAACAACTGCTACATGAGGGAGATATCAGTTGTATTTATTGGTTTGTTGATTTATCCATTTATGGTTTTTGAAGCTACGTGCATTCTCGGCAGCCTTGCATTGACACGCTTGATCGTGCATCGGTTGCATTTCGGCAACCTACATGTGCTAATGCTGTGATTTCTCTGTCCTCCGTCCTTTTGTGCGATTGTGTTGGAGGCTTATTTTAAACAGTGCATGTGTGGGCCAGGAGCCGTGTGGGTTGGTTTCATGAGACAGAACGTGTGGGATGCCCATGGTGGAGCCAAATCACAAGCAGCAGCAGCAGCAGCAGCAGCAGCAACTCACAAAACTTGTCAATGATCAGCCTCAGCGCAGAGTCGAGAGATGCCGCAACGGACTTTGAGCAGTATTTACAAAAAAGCAGGAATAAAGGCAATATGATTATCAAATATGGCTAAAGCGATATTGTTGACTTAAAATCCTTTACGTGGTCGACTAGGAGCTAATGGAAATATGTCGTCTTGACCCACTGAGAAGATCTCATTATACTTCAGTGCGGCAGTATAATAGAACTGGTCACTGCTGTGCGTTTAAATGTCAGGATATGACATTTAAAGACATTCAAATGAACATTTTTCTTTTTTTTGTTCTTCACAGGAGGTATTCTAATGATGGATTTGATCTGTCAAATGTAACAAAGAACAATCCCCATAATAAAAAAAGCAGGAGTTAACATTTAATACAGCTATGACTTCTTACAATAAATAGAACAGTTTGTTATTTTTCCAGTTTTGGAAACTGACAAGCAGCTGCTGAGACATCATCAGTCAAGGAAACTGATGACAACAAATAAACTACCACAGAAAAACAACTTCTTTGAGCATATGTGGCAAATAAAAAGTCACAATAATGTCTTTTTTTCAAGCAAGACCTGGTTTCATTCACTGCAGGGGAACAAAAGTCTTGGAATAAAATCCAAATTGTTTCAGTTGTAAGATAATATTTTCTTGTGTTGTACAGGCACAGTAGACGACTGTGCAGTAATAGTTTTAATTGCCAGTAGAGGGCGCCGGATCTCATCTACGAGTTCTAACCCTCAAATCAAAGAGCAGATGAAGACACTATGAGACCAAACATATCATGTGTTCCTCCTGGATATATTTAACCACTTAAAATGCATATTCTAAACAGGAGCGCAACATGTTACGATGCACAAAAATGGAGTTATCTGTTTTTGCAAATGAACTCTTCATATGTTGTTTATATGAGCTTAATAATAATATTAGAATCAAAGCAGCAGACTGCACTACGTCCTCAACAATGTTCAAAATAACATCAACGGTATCCAGCTCTCACTGGTTCTCTTTTACTGCTGGTTGAGAACATGCAGGTTCAGCAATTAAAGCTCTTTTTCTATTAAAGTATTCATGTGTGACCACTTTAATTGCGACTGAGATCTAGCAGTTAAACCAATAATGTCTTGACAACCACATCAGGTTCTACCACGGAGGTCTGATGGAGCACCGTAGGAGCACAGTCACTGACAACCTAGAAAGAAAAAAAAACTCACAAAGATCCCCCCCAACAACATTGTTGTGGTGTGGGCGAAAACTGAGTCATCTAAGAAGGTGCATTTAGAGTCGGAGGGAATCAACTCCCATTTCCCTGCTGGAAGCCTTCACTTTTCTGTACCAGCGAACAAACATAAATGTAGTTTTTCCAATCAGATTCTAAAGTAATCTTATCTCTTTGTAGGCCACCACAACGGTTTCACACAAAAGTTATGTTTCTACACAGTGAAAACACAATCCACTGTGTGCACTGCATTCAAAAGCCTTTCTAACATCGAGTTCACCACCAATCTCAGGTGCAATGACGGAAAATCTTTCAAAGTACCTTACACACATGCAATATGACGTTTATATGCACACGCGATGCTGTCCTGTATGCAACCAGCAACAGTGTTCCTGCTGGTACAGAATGATCGATCGATATTGCTCAGCTTTGATTGATGATTGATTGGATGATTTGATGCAACTCCACTTGTTATGACCCTGTGGGTCATCAAGAGTGCTTTTGTTTTTTTGCTGCCTGTTTCTGTCCTCAGTGTGTGTGTGGGATGAACGAATGGATTAGGAGCAGGTGGTGACCCTGGATTGGCTGTCTCACCTGCTGCCGCGCCTGATTCCAGCCACACAATTGGTCAGAGGGCGGACCAATCCACTATTTGAACAGCCCGCCAGCTGCACTCGTCCTCCTCACCTCCAGCTTCGCCACCTCAGAGAAAGCCAGCAGGCCGTCGCAACTGTACTGCAGGAGGATGCAGCAGTAACGTGTTTGTTCCAGGATCGTGTGCAACAGATCCCGAGTCTTGTAGTGACTCTTTGTAAAATTGCAGTTGGAGAGCAGAGTAGGAGGGAGAGGCCTTTTTCTTTTGAACCTTTTTCTCCTGTTTTTTTGTTTACTAGGTAGGCAGGTAGGTTATTGTCTTTTATTTGCGTTTCTTTTTCAACAGGGAAATTAGGGTTAGTGTAGGGTATGTTTTGTTTATTATTTTGGCCTATGTTCCCCCTCTACATTGTAAAAAATAAAAGAAACTGCTCGTTTTGATACCTGGCTTGTCGTGATTGCTGGCCTTCTTTGAGGTGGAAAGACTGGTGTGGAGCAAAATATCATGTTATGCTCAAGGTTCCCCTAGACCGGGGCATAACACACTGCAGCAAGTTACCGTCTTTTGCACATGTATGTAGACACATTCATTGTCAATATAGTACATTACGTGTACATATTCCACTTTGCTTCTCTAATGTTTTTAGTTTTTCAAGTGGTGAACAGTGAAAACGTTTCATTGACTGTGTGTTAACCTGCATATGACAAATAAATGAATCTGAATCTGTTTAAAACCTCAAGTTGTAAAACTGGGGACTTTAAAAAAAAAAACACTGTTGAATCCGAAGACAACTAACACGTCATCCTGTAAACAACAATCACCTTGTCGGTGCTATATGTCAGACTGCAATCATGAAAACAGCACCTTGATGTTTATGTTATGCTACACTGGCATGAGAACACTGTTACAGCTAAAAATGACATCTGAATTGTGGCCCACGTTATTTGTTTCCATCAATTTTTCTGGGAGGACTGGTTCCCTGGTTGGAAGGTGAATCAGAGCTGTGTGTCTGTGTGATGACAGCTGCCACGATCAGTCAGCACGGTGGAATAATCAATGACACTGATCATGCATCAACACCTATATTTTATATTTGACTTTTTTTTTCCCAAAACGCTGTAATTCATCGTGACAAACGGCTGCTGCTGTGAAACATCGGTGTGTGTAGTCGGCGCTACAGTTTTGACAAATTGAGCTGCAGCAGAATGTGACTCAATTGAGTGGAAAAGGTTACAAAACCATCACAAAACTGAAAAAGGTGGTTTGTGCACTGTGCAAAGTGTTGGTGGCATAAGCCCAGCAGGACAAGCGCAGTGCACGAGCAACTGAAGAGAAAACATTCAGATGATACTGCAGACTCACCGTCAGAGAGGCACAACCACCGTGTTCATTCATAGAGACATTGTGTTAATATCTTTTGTTCTTGTAGCTACTAAATACAATCATAAAGCTCGAGAATAACATTAAAAAATATATAAAAAGGATCCATTTTAGGTTCATTAACTTATACAAAAATAGTCTTTAGTGGCAGCCCTGTGTGTGTTTTAAACAGCCACATATTCCTTGTTGAGAGCTACAAAAATGACAAGAAAAATAGCGCTAAGATTTGATGAGATCAAACTAACTACACAGGCCGTTTAAAACATGACTGAACAGCTCCACATACAGTATGCATTTGCTGTTTTGTCACTTGCTACTAGAGTCACAACTAACACTTATTTCCATCTGCAAGTCTATAAAATTTCAGAAAACTGTCAAAAGTCACAATTTTGTGTTGGGAACCCACTATGATTACACTGATGACTATCAGGCTAGATGTCGCTCCCTCACACATTGTTTTTCAGACACAAAATAACAGATGAATTAGATCTGCTGCAAAATGAGCTTTAGGAAATTAAATCCAGTAATATAAAATATCTTATGGATGTTTTTTAACTGGCCATGTTGCAGGATGCCGACACAAACACAGAGTAAGTGTCATCAAGAGCTGAAATCCCCCAACATGGCTTCCAAAAGGTGCACTCACATCCTCTGAGAACCTTTTTTAAAAAAAAAATTTTTTCTATCTTCCTTACTTTTCATGTCATCCAGATCAGCGCTGGCCAACATCTGGGCCTCGGCCTCATCGGTGGGCACCTGCTGGTAGACGGCGGTCTCCAGAGCAGTCATGCTGCCGATGCAGATCCGCTCCCGCAGGTCATAGTTGCTTCGCTGGGCGCCCGGCAGTCGATGGTGGACGGGCTTCCTACGGAACCAGCCGCGGGCTGAGGTCGAACTGGACGGATCTGAGCCTGGGGGGACGCTGACGAAGAGAAATGATATTGGTTATAAGAATGTAAAGTTTATTAAATGTTGCTGTAATGAGCTCGACGTTGCATGACATTACAATTTAACTCTTCTTTCTGTTTTTGATGATACAAACTGACCTCACAGCTTTTCATTAAACACAAGTTTTTGATGTAAGGTGATGTAAAAATCTGCTATGACATGTCCACCTTTGTTAAACATTATCTCTTGGTTGCAATACCGTCATTTAACCAACAGAGGGCTTCACAACACAGCAACAGACCTGGATCCCCTCGACAAAGCTTCTGAGTCATCCTCAGCTGCGTTCACTCAAACACAGCATCACAATATTATTCCAGGGCACAGGCATGATGGCTGTTTCTGTCCTTTTATCCAGCCGGGCATTAGCAGACACAAATACCTGAATCACCATGGAGCCCCTGACCTCCCAGGAGTGAACCCCGTGCATAATTCAAAGCATCACCAAATAATTCATATTCTGATGGTCATGCATGTGAGCTAGCCAGATGGGTCTTATATTATGTAGGATTAAGCTGGAGCCATTAGTGGATCGTAATTGCCTTAAGAACTGCATGAGCTATTAGTGGTGATCCGTTTGATGGTTATATTTCTCATGAAGCCGCTCAAGACAAGTGCATATATCTATAAATATAGCCTACATATGCAATGAGAGAAGGAACGATACTCTATTGTTGTCTGCTCTGTCTTGTTTTGCATCATTTGATGCTCAGAAAAACACTCGACTCGTTTAAAGTTTTAAATTGAGAACACAAAATAAACCTCAAAAGAACAATGAAATCGTCTTTACTCAGTTGGTGCATTCACCTCCGATGCATATCTGCCGTGACAAAAAGCTAGTCTTAGTCTAGCAGGCAGGTTGCTGGTAAATCTGACGATTGATTGTTCTTGGGAGAATTTAACCAGTCGCTGGAAAACAAACCCGCAAAAGGCATATTACACCACAGGTAACCACAGCAACGCACTCGTGTGTGAGGTTTGTTTTATTACCAGTAAACTCTCCCTGGTAAAGCTGACCTGCAGGAATAATATGGATAAACTGACAACAAACAATCTTTAAAGCTGCATAATCAATACCTTCTTATCGGCGGATTAAAAGACAACGTGTGATGTGAAAGGAGTCGCCAGCAGTGAAACCCCACAGATAACAATCCCTTGACTGTTCCCTTCAGTGCTGCAAAAGTGTTTTAGCATCTTTGAGCACGTTGTTTTACTTTGATGGCCCACAACTTTTAATTTCCTTCTCCCTGCTTTAATCGGCTTCGTTTTCAGCCTCAGCGGGCAGATGTTTTCAGCAGCATGGGCTCTAACAAACGCTCTGTACGCTACCTGTCCAGCATCGAACAGCACAGAGACAAAGTCAGCAGCCAGCTGGTGAACACTGAGCAGCATTTTGCTGCTAAAAAGACATTTTTATCATGAGTTTGTGAAAAGCAAAACAATCAAAAAGTAGATAACGTGGTAAACTTTAGGGTTAAAAAATAAACTCAAAAGTGCCAAAAATTGCAGTTCTGCTAATGACCACTAGAGGCTGGCTCTAAAAGTGAGTCAGTCCCAATAGACCCCCATGTTAAAATACGTGACTTTACAGCAGAAATAAACATATTTACATTTACGATTTTGGTTTTGTTCATTTCTCCGTTCATGACAACCGTTCATGGGGTGAACTTACTTATTTAAACTGTACTAGCTTAAAGTCAGGCACAATTAATCACTTTGGTGACAGGTGGATGCTCACACTCCACCTCTTTGCTCATTTTTGGATTAGCCAGGTGTGAGGAGGAGTCATGTACAGAGGGTTTGTCCTTCTTCATATACAGTCTATGGATGATACACTTTGCTAAGGTGCACCTTGTAGAAGCCAAAAACGTAACAGCCGATAACATAGTTACGGCTGACAACGTAATAAATTATCCATCCATCCATCCATCCATCCATAAATTAGCCATTTTTATAATGTAACAGGCCAATAACGTAATAATTTGTTACATTTTTAAAAACCTATTACCTATTCCATCTTAAAAAGTGCAAATTTATAATGTTATCCGCCGTTGCTACGTCATCGGCTGTTATTACATTATAGGCTTCTACACACCTTGCTACTCCTGCCTTCAGAAGTGTTTTAATTCCTTGTACACAGTTCAACAAGTTGCTGAAAACACTCCTCGGTGTTGCTGCAGATTTGTGGGTATCTCCTTAACGACACTAATCTCCCGTTCCAGTACTTCCCAAAGATGCTCTAATGGACTGAGATCTGGTGACGGTGGAGGCCACCTGAGTGCAGTGAACATGAATTGTTCAATAAGGCAGTCAGAGATAATATGAGCTTCATGGCACGGTGTGTTATCCCGCTGAACATAGCAATTAGAGGATGGGTAGACTGCGGTCATAAAGGGATGGACATTGTTAGGCTGTGGTGTTTAAATGGTGCTCAGTTGGTCGTGAGCGGCCCAGAGTGTCCCGAGAAATGATCTCCACACCGTTACACCAACACTACTGGCCTGAATTGTTGAAACAAGGCAGGACGGATTCATGCTTTCATGGAATTAACACCAAATTCTGACCCTTCCATCTAAAATGTCACGACTAAAACGAGACTCTTCACACCGGGTAACGCTTTTCCAGTCTTCCACTGTCAGATTTTAATGAGCCCGTGCCCACTGTAGCCTTAGTTTCCTGTTCTTAGAGAGAACTTGATGTGCTGTTTCAAGAGGAAGTTCATTCAGAGATGCTTTTTTTGGGGTTGCATAAGTGGTTATTTGAGTAATCGTTGCCTTTCTAGAGACTCAAACCACTTTGGCCAATCTTTTCTGACCATGAACAAAACATTTTCATGCACTGCTCACTGGATGTTTTTTCTTCATTTTCTGACCAGTCTCTGTAAATCCTAGAGACAGATTAGTGTTAAATCCCACTAGATCAGCAGTTTTCAAGATATTTAAAACAGATTGTTTGGCACCAACAACCTTGCCACTTTCAAAGTCACCAAAATCTCTTCCGCATTCAGATGCTTGTTTGAATTTTAGCGGATCTTCTCGGTCATTTCTACTTGCCTACATTTGACTGAGCTTTTGTCACGAGCTTGTTTGATATTCGCTTCGACAAGCCCTTTAACATGTGTATGTAATAAACGCTCCTATGTTTATAGCTTGGAAAAATCAGTCAATGTAGCTTTTTAGATTGCGAAATTGTTCTGATTTTGGATGAAAAAGTTTTGTATTTTGTCTACCATACATCCATACCAGGCAGTTTTTATCCTAGAGCATTCCACCTATTGTAAGCTTAATTGGTCCTTCATTATCTTCTTGAGCCAGTCTAACTTGTTGTTGAGATTTTACTACTAGTTTTGAGTAATTTAATGGTTAACACTAGAATTATAACGCTATTTGATCAACACTGACAAGATTAAAATTGCTTTGTGGAAGTCAGATTTCTATATCACAAGCATCCTTTTCATCTCTTCATATATTCAAAGCAAATAATAACCAAATGGAATTTACTGTTAATGTAAATTTTACAGCACAACATAGAAATCATGTGGCCCCATCATCCATGACATGCAGATTTGGCTACTGAATCTATGAGACAGAAGTCAGGCAATGTAGTATACATCCCAGTGGACGGTCAGGGAAGTTCAGGGTTTGTAGCTGCAGTTATACATGTGAGCTAAAACTTTATGCAAGTTCTGTCATATTGAGTGGTTCCGTATTTGCTTCATTATATTTAAGGCTCATTTGCTCACGTTGTGTTTTATTCACCTTCATGAGTAGCGTAGCGGTGACACCATGAATGCAGTGGAGTGCTGGATTCCTGAGATTGATGAGCGTGTTCACAATGATGCTCTACTCATTGTCGAAAGTAAAGAGCTGTGAAAAGAGACTCAAGGTCTCTTGCTGAGATCTGTCAAGAGTGACTCACCACTCAACATGGCAATGAGATTTATTTCTGTCTTTAGACAAGCTCATTTCTTGTAATAGTAGAAATTCATTATTCTAGATGAGGATTACTTCTTTTAAACTCAATATGCTATTTTCTCTATTTGAAGACCATTGCATTAGCATTTAGGTACATTTTCCAACATACTGAGAAAATGTTTCTTAAATCTTGACAAATGTACGTACTTTGAGTTGGATTTTACTAATTTTAAAGGTCCCCAATTATACCTATTTTAATCAAAGAAAAAAGAAAGTCTTTAATGTCCCCACAATGTCTACTGCTAGTTCTACCTCAAACTACATCTATATGCTGACGACACCATTATTTATACATCTAGTTTCTTCCTGACTGCTACACTGTCGCCATCGCAGGCCAGCTTCACTAGCATCCAACACGCTTTCTCAGGTCTCCATTTATTTTTAAATACAAATAAAACTAAATGGATGTTTTCAGTGCATTTCAGTTTTCTGCTACAGATGACTGGAATCATCTGCAGGAGACTGTAAAGCTCAGCTCATTCATTTACTTCTCCTCATTTAAAAACTAAATTCAATCAATAGTACAAACCATCACATTTGATTTTAGCTATTTATCTCATGCATAACCATTTATAATTGTACGATCTGTTTCTATGTTGTTTTTTGTTTTTGTTTCTTTCCTGTGTTTATGTCCTCACTGTTTCTGTATCTACCTTTCATGCTGCCTTTTGGCCAGGTCGTCATTGTAAATGAGAACTGGTTCTCGACTTTTGTGCTCAGAAAGTTAAAGCAGTCAGCTGGAAGAGGCTTATTGGAAGAGAGACAAACTGCAGGGTCAGGTTCTTTCCCATAAGCAAACACTTTCACATTGTGTATATATACTACCGAGCAACCGGGGCTGCATGGTGGCTCAGTAGTTAGCACGTTCAAAGCCAGAAGATCCCTGGTTCGTGTCCCGATTAGGATGCCTGGGATCTTTGTGTGGAGTTTGCATGTTCTCGAAGTGCAGCGTGGGTTCTCTCCGGGTTCTTCCTCCCACACAGTCCAAAAACATGCTGAAGTTAACTGGTGATTCTAAATCGTCCGTATGTGTGAATGTGTTTGTCTCCTAATGCACATATATGGATATACATACGTCACCTGGTTCACTGCTCATTTAAGAGCAACAGCGGTACAAAATGGCGGAGATGCAAATCTTTTTAAGACCTACCATCATTGCATGTTTCACATTTTAAACCTATGCAGACAGCAGAGAAGGCAGCCCGAACAGAGTATACCAAGATGTTGAAATAACCCACCTGTTGCATGCTGCTGCTTCTTCTCCATCCACCTCTTCGTTCTGTCCAAGAACAGTGATATCCCCGTTATGAGCTGCCCCCTTTATCAGAGTCACCGCGGCTTTCCTCGACAGCGGATGTTCTTCGTTTTCCGTGTGGACAGTAGTGAGTGGAAGGGGTTCTTCCAAGTCCTCTTGGCTCCCCAAACTAAACTGAGAGGAAGAGGAAGATCAGTGAGAAGGGAGGAAGATGCCAGCAGGTGGTTCTACCCATCAGGATAACATTTCAACAGCAGACAAGAGTGTGCATCAGTTGTATGAATCTATCATTTCCAATGGCTCTTCAGACTTATTTTACCTGTGGCTGGATGTCAGGCAGCTCTGTGGGCGTGGCGGCCACCCCGGACGCCTCTGTCTCGGACTCCGCCTCTTCCTCGTCTACCTCGTGGATGGTGGGCGTAACGTCGGAGGGGGGCAGCGAGGTCTTTTTTTTCTTACGTTTCTTTTTGCGCCTTCTGTCCGTACTGTGCACCCTCTTGCGTAGACGCTGGGGCGCAGGCAGGTGGGTGGACAAGGGGTGGTGCGTGTGGTGAAATGTGTGTCTGTGATCTGTGATTAAAAAAAAGCAACAAAGAAAAAAAAAAAAAAGAATAAAGTGTCAATATACTAGTATATATACCAATACTGAGCAGATGCTGTGTAATGCTGGGTCCCTCTGTGAATGCAAAGCACGAGAGCAGATGGCACACGACTGATCTGTTGATATGAAACTAAATTAATGCTGCAAATCTAAGTTATGAATTCTCCTCAGGATGACAGCAGTGATGTTGGGGTAAGGCTATTAAGCTGAGCTATTTCACACAAGTCTGTCTGGAATACTCGTGGATGACTTCTTTTCAAACACATTGCAAAAAATGCTTTTAAACTCATATTTAACCCTCCGAAATCCAAAACCTTCTGGCAGGTTTGAAAGGCTTTGTGTCCTTTTAAAAAAAGGCTATTTATCAGAGCCAGAAACGGTAAAAACAAGAAAAACTTCTTCAGATTTTTGACTTCCTGTCACTGAAGCAACCATCAGGAAAATTAACCAACTTAAAATTGTAATAGTTATTCAAAATCCCTTTATTCTAAATTTCTAATTCGTAAACAAACAAAAAAAAAACAAAAAAACAAAAATAAACTAAACCATTTAACTAACCAGACCCTGTAAAATAAAATAAAAAAAGACCTCTTTGGCACAAGTGAGATGCTGCAACTCAGCAGTAACCAACGGCAACATGACAAAAATTCAAGGCAGATACGAGAGTATGAAAACACATTAAAAATGTACACAGTAAAACATATATATAGTATGTAGAGTCGCCATTTTTTCCAGGTTTGGCAACACTTGTAGGAAATTTGAAAAAGGTTGTATATGCTCATTTGAGGTTTTTTTCCCCCATTTTTGTGAAGTAAATAATAAAAAACTTCCATATTTTGCTTTTCACTATCTATGGCATAATAAATTTGTTTTTCTGCACAACAGACATCTCTGAGTTCCCTCTACTTCTAGACATGATGGTGCTGTTTCCATAGAGACGTAGAACTTTACATTGCAGTAAAAATAAGTCCACAGTAAGCAAAAAAAACAAACAACAAACACATCATCACGTCTTGGGGTTTAGCCTTAACAACCTAATGCATGACACAGAACTAGTCTAAGTTTAAGAAATCCCATCACTTGTAAAGCTACAGCCTTTTAAATGAATACAATATCGTATTCATGTTTTCTTAGGCTCTTAACTCCATTAAATAAAACATACGGGAGGGAAAATGGTGCGATTCTCAGATGACAGACTCTCTCTCTCTCTCCGTCTAATTCCCTATTAAACACTTGAAAGACACAACATAAACAAAAGCTTTAGGTTTTAATTAGCACGCAATAAAGGAGACACTCTCTGTTTAATAAACATCAAAAGAAAGCAGCTTTATCGAATCTTAGCCTCTATTATCTCCCGTCAGAGCATGTGGCACCCATCTGCTAATCTCTCCAACACTAATCCACCCAAAATGCTCGACATGCTCAGAATATGGTCCCCGCTCTAAATCTGATCTCTTCACACAACTGCGATGGACAAGGTCGCGATCTGTTGTATATGCTGTGTATTTATACACACAAATGACTCATATTAAATGATTAGTTACAGTGGATTTGTCCAACAGGTTCATTCTGGCTGCTGGTGTCATGAACAAGTGACAAAAGACAAAAAGAAATTGTGCTACAGATGAAAAGAAAAGCATTTACTACGTCCACTTCTGTTGTTTGCTTGTTTTCTCTTTTACATTTTATTTTGTTTTTTAGAAACATCATCTCTGACATTACCAGTATTGACTTCAAAGCCTTCATTTTCAACAGTACTTATAACCATATATATGTATAATAAAGGCTAGATGTCTTAAGGTGGCGTTTCGAACAGGATCACCCTTCGGCCATCTTGACACGGGGCAGCTCTCTGGCGGAACCTGCAGGAAGGTGAGTGATCTACACAAACGTAAATACTCTTATCTCGCTGAAATCTTGACGGATTTACAAACGGTTTGGTTTCTTACAAACTTGTGTTGTTAGCTGCAACACTACAAAATTAACCACAACACAACACAACGGCTGCAACGGAAGTGTCCGCATTAACAAGTCAAACAAGCAATGACTCTTTATTTGTAAATCAAAGTTAACAACCGCTTTAATAGCGCACACCGAGATTAATGGACACTATTTGCCATCAGCATTTTACTTTCTTTCGAGATGTTTCCAACAATCTCCGGCTTCTGCCCACTTCGTGTGGCGTTGCGCACTTCACAGTATAACTTCCGGCTTAAAAAAAAACACCTTCCGTTGCAGCCGTTGTGTTGTGGCTTATTTTGTAGTGTTGTGGTTAATTTGGTTGTGTTGTGGTTACTTTTGTAGCATTGTGGCTTATTGTGTTGTGGCTTATTGTGTTGTGTTGTGGCTTTTGTTTTGTTGTGACACTTCTGGGCCACCGTACTGTTGTGTCCATGCAGCTACAACATAACGTGTTCAGGGTACATGCAGACAGGACATTGCGGATTTTCTCACACTCGAAGTCTTTCTCGGTGTAGTGTCGGCCCATCCTGTCTCCGCTGGTGGAAGCAGAGTCACTGATGATGTCTCCGAAGCGCTCCACGGACAGGGCTTTCTCCCAGTTCTCCTCCTCCTCCTCTTCCTCCTGCTCCTCCACGGATCCATCCTCATCTTCCTCCTCCACCTTCACCTTCAAACGTGACAGACAAAAAACCAAAGATTTAACACAGTGCGGGCGACACAAGAGAGGAATCACGTGAAGCACAAAAAGGAGACGTGACCGGTCGGTTTGTTATGAAATCTATAGGGGACCTTTTTTGTTCTGATGCATAAAAGGGCATCTATTCCTGCACAAAGACACCACCATCGCCGTGAATGTGGAACTGGATGATTACATGAATTGTGCTACTCTGATTGCTAAATTGTATGTATTACCCAAGCGGGGAGTCCAATCAGATACTCCTTTAGCATGACACGGCTTGGCTCTGAAATCAGAAATAGCAGCCACATGGGGAGCATATTCACGCTAAATGACAGCAAAATGCCAATCCGGGGACGAACAAAGACATGTGGGGGAGTTCCTGCTTTACAGAGAAGCTGGTTCAACACGCAGCATGTGTCTACTTAAAAGTTTTTTTTTTGGATAGAGGCAACAAAGCCGCTTTTCACCAGAAATCAGTTTCACAGGAGAAACTTCAAAATGTGTTTTAAAATAAGCCCGTTTCATCAGAACAGTGTCTGTATGTCCTCGGCTACACGTAGAGAAGACATCAAATCAATACAACAAAGTGCTAAGCGGCGAAGACCTAATGCACGAGAGGGCCCCTGGAGACAGCAAGGGCTGATGGGAGTGTCCCGCCTCGGAGGTTCGCTGCCTCTGATAGGTCAAATCGCTGGGGCCGGCTGCTCCCTCTGCCTCAGATTGGCGCTGGCACGGTGAGCACTCTGGCTACCGCTCAGCGGTCTCACATTTCTCTGTGCCAGGGCTCCATTACTTCCTAATTACCAGTGGGATAAAGGGACAGGATGCATTTAATGATCCGAGCTACCTATCTACACAACTCCGAGGCAGGCAGACGTAGCCAGAGATAGACACAGAAGAAGGGGAGATTTTAAACCGAGCGAGCTGTAAAAGCTGTTGTTTTTCGCCGGAGGGCCCGCTCAATTGTGCTCATTATTTAAGGCGCTCTGTGTTCCTGCGAGCTAATTTCCAGATTCATTTCCCTTAACTTGCTCCGATCATCAGACCCCGAATTTAATGGTCCTGATGAAATGCAAGAAGCTGAGGTTGTTACGGAGAAGGAAGAAAACCTGGTTTCCCTCTGCACAAGCCCTGTTGGTGCAAATGACTCCAAACTCTTTCATGTCAGCTTTGAAGTCAGTCGGGGTGGAAGGACGCAGGAGGGGGGCGAAGCCAGCCCAGGTGGTGGAGGCTCTGTCTGAATAGGAGCAGGACCGCAGACGATTGTGTACAGGGATCCAGCGTGAACTCAAATGCAGCACATTTTAAAGAACCAATGGAAAGCAGAGATGTTACACTCGACCGTGACCAATCAGAGGAATAATCGAAGATGTATATTCCATCAGTGTGACATTTTTTAGGTCTAAAAACGGCTTCATATAATGTATGAGAGGCAAAAATCTTGTATATTTGACTGACCTCAAAAATCTGCAAATAGAGGATGCTGAGAGGTACGATGACTTGTAGAGCTGTGATGACTGTTGGCCTCCACCGATGCACAAAGTTTAATAAATGTAAAAAGTGCTCTCACAGTGGCTTCTCATGGCAGCTACTCATTCCAACTACTTTAAATACATTTATGTGTCAACCCCAGTTCAAGATGAGACAAAAATCACAATATTTTTGCAAGAAGACAGAAGTAGGTCTTAAAAATAAAAATATAGATATATTTTTTCAATTCCTTGTGTATAATATGAGCACAGATGTTTTATTTTTGGACTGGCATCATGTATATCCCTATTCCCTGTGAGTAAAACTGCTTGTAAGAATGTATCAGGCAAACTGTGACATTTTGCACGTGGGATTTGCCTCATGCTTGTGCTCTGATACTGCTCAGTAGCTCCTCTAGTGGTCAAAACATCCACAGTTCACCTTTAAACCTGAGCCCCTCTGTATGTTTGATTTTTTCTTTCAACTTTTGACAAAATAGTACAGAAGCCGAGAGCGGTCATGGCCGGCATTTTCTCGAGATAACGAGATAATTATCCCGCTGACAGTTTCGGCTGTCACTTCAGCCTTCAGCAGAAGTTGTCGGACTTCTTGGTGTGACGTATCTTATATAGACAGCTGACCGGGAACTCCGACATGACGTGTCATGAGAACAGCTGACCGGGCACGACAGCTTACAATGAAGCGCTCGTGCCCGGTCTCCTCTGTTGTCCGGCCCCCCGCTGGTGACTGAGGATGGAATCCCAGGTGTGTGGGAGGTCCCCATCCTGGACCGGGCACGAGAGGGCAAACACACACACCAATTATCTAGTTTTCATGAGAAAACGATTCTTGTTATCTCGAGATAACGAGTTAATTTTCTCGTTATCTCAAGAAAACGGCGAAGAAAGAACAGTAGCGGAAAACGGCCGCTCTCGGCTTCCGTAAAATAGCCTTTCATCCATCCATTATCTATACACCACTTAATCCTCACTAGGGTCGCGGGGGGCTGGAGTCTATCCCAGCCGACTTAGGGTGAAGGCAGGAGACACCCTGGACAGGTCACCAGTCTATCACAGGGCTACACTTAGAGACAGACAACCAAGCACACTCACATTCACACCTACGGACAATTTAGAATCACCAATTAACCTCAACATGTTTTTGGACTGTGTGGGAGGAACCCGGAGAACCCAGAGAGAACCCAGTGTCCTCAAAATAGCCTTTCAGAATCATCTAATATTGTAAAACAACTACTTGGAGGTTAATCTACGGCACACTCTAGTCTTATTAAAACTGCATTTATATCATGTTTGAAAACTATTCACCTCTTAGCTAAAAATGCAAATACTGCAGCTGCTTTCTTTGGTTGATTCTGACAAACTTCAGACCAACACTTCTAAAGGCTGCTGATTGATAAAGGTTTAGAAATAAAGTGATCATTTATAATGAACAAGAAAATACTTACGAGTATCGTGATTAGCTGAACAAACAGAAAATTAATGTTCCACTGTTACAGTAATTGATAGTTTAAAGTCATTTTTAGGTTTAAATGCCAAAAAAAATAAATCGCAGGTTCCTTCCTCTCAGATTGGATTACCAGCTGGTTTTCTTTCATTTGCTTTTGGACCATTTGTTGGATAGAAAAAGCATGACGTCACCTTGGTGTCTGAGGAACAGCGATAACTATGAATCGCTATTGGCTGACATTTACACACAATGTGATTCACTTATTCATCAAAAAATTCACAAAAAAAAATACCCAGCAGTCAACAGAGCGGATCCTTTGAAGTGTTTTCTAAATAAACCAGAGCGCAAAGCAATTATCTAATCCAGCTTTCAACCACCTATGTTGTCGAGGTGGAGACTGAAATCTCTAATATAAATATTGATAATGAAGGCTGGCGATCCCCACCCAGTCTGTTTACTGTGAGCGTTATCACTGTGGGTTACCATCCACATCAAACGCAATATTTCATGCATGAAAATTAAACTTCTCTGCGGCCGGTCAGGCCACCGCTGATCAATTACGAGGAGGGGAAGCTTCAATTAAAACACGAAGAAGAAAAAAAGCTTGATCAACAGAGCTGAGCTGCACTTCAGTTAAAAAAAAATAAAAATGCTGTTTAACCTTTTCTCATGAACTGTCCAACTTCTACTAGCGCATTAATATTTCATATTTAGTGCAATGATGAGCCAGAGAGATGCATTAAAATATTTATCAGCTGCTGACGACTATTCAGGAGATGCGTGTGTGTGTGTGTGTGTGTGTGTGTGTGTGTGTCAGTGTTTGCCTGGTTTGTGAGGACCGAGTGCTCCGTCATTAGCGATCAGGAAACACTTCCAAAGTGCTGCAGCTTCACTTTAGGTCTAAAGTTACAAGGAGGGATTGGATTACCACAGGGTCTACTACTAGTGCTGGGATTAGTGTAAAACTTTTGCAAAATAATTTACGTTACAATAAGGTTTTAGTTACGTTTTAACCAGAAATCTGTGTATTGAATCTGTGTAACTGATTTAAATTCAATACATAATAGTTTGTATGATGGATATTTATGATTAAAATCGGGAAAACTGTGGATACAATCATGTGCAGGACATCCAGAATATTTACATCTGTCATAAAAATGTATTCTGGAAGTCTAAAGTTTCCATTGGAACAATTAAAAGCTGTCATGCAGATCAAATCAATCAATCAAAATCAAATCAGGTTTATTGTCATGTTGCTGTACACACACAGTAGTACAGGCGAGATGAGAGAGCGTTTCTTCAGGATTATTCCTCCAGCAAGTTTTGCAGAATGCACGTCTGGGATAACACGCTAAACGTTCACTCTTGCTGTCTCCTCAAGGGGGCGCTGTGTCCATGCACGCTGCCATTCGTTGAACATGGAGAATCTCTTCAGGTCCTGGTAGGTCTTCAGGGACACAAAGACACACACAATGGTGTGACGATGGTGAAGCTGTCTGTCTGTCTGTCTGCATCCCCTCCAGCTGTATGTCCGTCTGGGATGTTGTCATGGGGCCATGTTTCTGTTAAAGCAAACACACAGCAGTCCCTCCACTCTCTGTGGGTTTCTCTCAGCAAACGTAGCTCGTCCAGCTTGTTGTGGAGGGAGCGGACATTGGAGAGTAGGAGGATGGTCCTGCTGGTCTGGAGGGGTTAGCCTTTAGCCTAGCATGGATCCCAGCTCTCTTCCTCCTCCTTTATGTTTATACCATTTGCGCTTCCTTCTCTCTCGGGTAACTGCCGGCGTCGTCTCCAATCGGACTCCGTGTTGGTGTAGTATGTCCACATCACAACCGATCGCCGTAATTTCAGCGCCGTTCACTGTCTTGATGCCCAGCAAAGTCTCCCGTTTTGTGGAATGAACGAGACACTCAAAACGTTCACTTTCGTTCACTTTCGCAGGGGCCGCTGTGTCTATGCGCGCCGCCATCACCATGACAACATGATTCAACAGATGCGACCATAACAACTATTGTCTTATTTGCTAGCAGCAGCAGGTTTCTATCGACGGCAGACATCCTCCTCAGCAGCTTCACTGACTATATTGTATAGAACACTTTGTCATTTTGTATGAGGAACTATTGATATTTAACATTTACTCCCAAGACGCCCCTGTTGGCACATCACCTGTCTGTACATTACTGTAACAAATGTTGACTTTATGACAAAAATATGAAATTAAGCACAATTTCAACTGTAGGATCCTCGTGTTTGTACAGTTTATCTCAAAGACGGTGTCACGATTCATACTTTAGTGTTTTTTAAAACTTTTTCCCCCCACATTTCTGCACTC